CATAGGTCTGTTTGGTAGAAATACGTCCAAATTATTGGCTAAAATTTTAAATTTCTACGTTTATTTCGTCACAAATTCAATTTCAAACTGTATTTTCGAGAGAAAACTTTACAATAACACCAACGAAACCACCCTGAAACTGATTTTTTTTAATATTTTTGAAAATATGAGCTTTCAAAGTTTCCAACTTTTGTCCGAGTTCTCTTATTGACTCTGTCCAGTGAGCGCCGTGCAAGCTTTAGACGTTGCCAAATCTATTGGAATAAAATTTGGATGGATCAATAGACGAGGTACGAATCTAAGCATTCCTATTCATGTTTCTTAAGCCAAATTTTACATAGAATATGATTCGCGCGACGAAAATTACTGAAATCAACTCCTACCAAGATATTAACGTTTCCAATTTACATTAGTTTGGTTTGGTACGCGGAAATTTGAATTCTGTGCTCGCACGAGAAAGATAATGGACGACTTTAATCAAATCGCTCGATGGGTCAGTTGCGCTGGTCACGGTGCTTCGATTCCTGACTCTTAAAAATTAGCTAAAAATAATAAGATCTGACCAAACAGCAACTTTCTACGTTGAATATTAAGTGAGATATCGCGCTTTGAAGAGTTCAGTCATCCACCGCGGTTGTGACACCCTTGGTTTCTTCCAGCTGGCTTTCATCATTCAGGGAAACGCACATTTGCTCTGGTTACTCATCGTGTAACTCGTATGAAAGCAAGATGGAAAAAACCGAGGGTGTCACAACCGCGATGGATGACGTCGTAAACCGAGTTTTCCGAAGCACGATATATGTGTTAATATTCAACATATCGACGGTGAAACTACCAAACCACGTATCTCGGTATGCGACGTCGCAAACTTCCTGTCATACTTTATTTTTTAAATGAAAAACTACTTAACGTCCAGTCTTGAAAATTTCTGTGATTTTTCCTCTTCGTGCGGAGAAAATTCTGTGAAAATTTCAAGGAATGATATTGATTTGGTCTACTTCAAAAAAATAAAATGTGAGCGTAGATTTTTAAACACAGCGAACGAGATACATGGTTTGGTAGTTTCACCGTCGATATGAAGTTGCTGTTTGGATAGATCTTAGGGGTCGTCCAAGTATTGCGTAACGCACTTTTTTCGATTTTTTGATCCCCCCTTGTAACGCAACCCTACGCCCCCCTTTTGAATTACGTAACGCAGGCTTGACCCTCCCCCCTTCCCTCATCTTTAAACAAGGGCAGGATTTTCAATTTTTTGCAAGTTTTTTTCATTATTTTTTTCTCCCGGCTCGGATTTGTTACGTAATGCTGGGCTTGACCTCGCTACCCTTTTGGTGCGCCTTACGTAATACTTGAAAGGCCCTTTTATATTTTTTGCACATTGACAAAGATCAAGCATCAAAACGCAATTCTGAAAACAGAGCAACTGCTCCATTTTCACTTATTATCCTCCGACAACTCGTCGACCCTCTGACGTAGGCTGTATCTCAATTTTTGCATGAGCCCCAGAAAGCATAGGGTTATACAGATCACAAGGCTCACGTGGTTACTGAGATACGACTCCACATCGTCAGATAAGCGACAAATTGAGGCACTCTGCAAGTAGGACAACTTCTGCGGTTCTAGTGAAATTATGCACAGAATAATGGCATTCGGCGGATTAACCCTTACCTCAAAAATGTGATTGTTACCGTTCTCTTTGGTGACACGGCAGTATTATCCCGCGAAATGCAGATGAAAGGAGTCGCGGAAGTGGGTCAGGAGTTGATACCGGCAACTGTGTTAACCGAAACGCGACGGAAAGTTATACGTGGAGGCGTGAGAAAAAACTCCGGGTCGGCCTACTCGGCACGGCGCACGGTGGATCGAGTCAACACGAGAGGTCGGACAAAATTTAGAAACTTTAAACGCTTATAACTCCGTTTAAACAAGACTTTGAGGTTCTAAATGCGGAACCATTGGTTTTCTCGTGAAAATGTCTTCTGTAAACACCCCTTAGAATTAAAAATTTGACGAAATAAACATCAAAATTTGAGGTTTTAGTCCAAAATTTTATTACCTCTCTAATGGGCCTGTTGCAAACTTTTGCTAGAGCAAAAATAAGAGTTGTTTCTTGTAGATAATGCCTCAAAAATCACGATGAGCGCATCGGCAAAGTCTGAAATGCACTCATAACTTCACAATCTGCGTAAGAAATTTGCGTTTTTTTAAGCTTCCCGCTTCAAAAACGATACTACGGCACAGGTGAACATTTTGTTAGAGGAGTCGCTCCATCGTCGGCGATATTCATCATGGCCGACGCTTGCTCGCAGTTCCGTGCGTGATTCGAGGAGAGTTCAAGGTCAATCAATTCGGGCGTGGAAAATATGAACGTTAACACACCGATTGTCATCCGGTCTAATCCAGTTCAGGTGTTATATCTCGTCCAGAGACAAATCTCGTCCCATCAAACGTGTTTCGGCGGATTGGCGTCGGCCATGATGATTATTGCCGACGATGGAGCGACTCCTCTTACAAAATGTTCACCTGTGTCGTAGTATCGTTTTTGAGAAGTTATGAGTACATTTCAGACTTTGCCGATGCGCTCATCGTGATTTTTGAGGCATTATCTATAAGAAACAACTCTTATTTTTGCTCTAGCAAAAGTTTGCAACAGGCCCATTGACTCGATTCACTGTGCGGCGCGACGCTCTTTCAAATGCCGTTGTTTACCCGTTCCTTCAGCTTCAGCTTCCGTCGTGAAAGGTCTCAGTTTTCACTCCGCCCCGGAATTAATTAATTCGTCGTCTCCGCGCAAAATAACGTAACTTCATCCCAACGTTGCCAAATTGACGCTAACAATTCATTTATTTTACAAAAATGTACGTGCACAATTTTTGTCCAACATTTTTCTGATTTTTGCATGGGATCTAGGAAAAAATCAGTAAAATTTTCAGTTGGAAATGTCCGGGATTTACACGAATAATATGCAATTAGCGAGGGGGACTTTGGAGACTTTGAAATGGAGTTGTGTTCTTTGGGGAGATGACGGATTGAGAGGCAGTGCGGAGTTTGCCGCAATAGGAGTCAACTTTTCAGGGACCTCCGCTTCAACTCCCACCTCCCGAATTCGGCTAAATTATTCATAACCATGAAAAACTTTCCCGCGCCGCGAAACATCAAAAAATGGGCAGTCTAATTTACGCCTTTGAAGATTTCCCCTCGGAACTGTTGAAGAGTGCGGGGCATGATTAAGTCGAGTGACGATTTCGTAATTCCGAGAGATTTAGCGTTGGAGTTGTAAAATCAAAGTGAAAATAATTTAAAAGAACTAATTTTTAGCTCCAGAAATTCCGTTCGCCATCTGGTTTGATGGGTCACTAAGCCGTTAACGAATTTTGACTTGCGAATACTTTTCAGGATGCGCATATTAAAAACGTGGAAAATTACCGCAAAAACTGAGAAATACGCATTTCAAAAAAGGCAACTTTTCCGCAAATTTAAAATAACCCGGTTTCGCGCCAAACCGAATACTGTCATCCGATGCCAATTAGAAGTGAGCACGGTTTTTTTTTTTTTTTTCCACCAGGTTTCTACAACTTCCGTCAAATGTCTTTCGACTCCTCGTAAAAGAAAACAACATTAAGTCAAAACTAATAATTAAAATCAAAGAATCGAATCTCATTGATGTTCCACATTTTAATACATTTCATATTAACAAATATTGGTGAAAAACGAAGTGCGATGGCAATTTGACCACCATAGTCCATCACTTCCATCATTTTCCCGCCATTTCGGCGTGTTTGAAATTCCTGTGAGTCTTTCGACTTTTTAAAAGCGGGCTTGACCGGGATTTTGGCTCCAAAAATATGCAATAAATTACAACGTAATATGATCACCTGATACTTTCAGAATCCTATATATTAAAACACAAAGTTCCGAATCTTTGGACGTTAACTTTGAGAGAACTACCGGACCGATTACCTGACCGTTTTTTTAAATGAAAGCTCCTGAGCCATCATTGCTTATTGAGGAGGGCGCCAGGAGCAGCTAGTATTAAATAAATAACACGAAGTTTAGTGACCCATTGGACGTATTTATATCAAAAGGGATTATATACGTGCCGCCATGAGCCCTGTTATGAATGTATTCTTATGGATCCTAGGGCTCATGTTAGAATGGATATAGTTCCTTTTGATTTAAAACGTTCAAATACGTGGTTCTTGAGAATTTTGGGGAACGATTCAGTAGTCGATCTATCAGTTGATAGTTTCTGGATCTTTGGACACATCTCAAGATTATCCAAGCATCCCATCGCGCTTTAGTTTGACAGGTTTTTGTGCACAAAATTTGATCAAGAATCATTCTGATGAAGCTGCAAAATTTAAACAACCGTGAAAAAGGCCTGGCACAGTAGGTTTGGTATAGCCTTGCATATTGATGGCTAGGGTGCAAAACCACGTATCTCCATTGCAATTTTTCAAAATGTCCGCTCTCATTTTATTTCTTCAAAGAAAACAAGATACTTTTGTGGCTTAACATTTTTTCAGAATATTTTGCTAAAGTAGATAAAGAGTCCAAGAAGTTTTCAAGAAATTACATTGCCTATAGTTTTTCAAAGAAAAAAAGAAGTGTGACAGGAGGTCTACTATGACGAACGGAAATAAGTGGTTTCGCATTTCAGACATCAAAATGCATGCACATTTATTTTCATCACTCCTAACCTTATTAGACCTGAGATGACTGAGCCGGTTAGAAGTTAAGATCAGAAAGAAACTATACAATGTACAGCAGCTCATGAAAGCTTTTGAAAATAGGCATATGAATAAAGTTCAGATTGAACCGCGGAAAATTATAAATCATTATTTTAAATATTGATTCAGCAGGCGCGTGCTTTGGGAAAAATCAAATAATGCACTTTTTGAAATGTGCTTGATTGATAGTGGTATCGTGTGCACGGTTGACTTTGAGCAACGTAAAAATTTCCGCAGGGCCGTTTGTGCTGAACACACAGTATATCAATCTACATTTCGCAGAAGAGGTACACTTTGACATTTAATTTAGTGCAAAGCTGCAAGTATAAATAGAATGTTTTGAACTCGATCCTGCTCTCCGAATCAGAAAATCACCCACAACGAATTTCAGTGTTTCTCCATTCTTATGCATTTTTACGGTAACTGTGTAGAAATTTTGAACTTTCATAACTTGTGCTTACTAAGCTCGACGAAACTTAACAGTCAGAAGAACTCTTTATTGGGATGGGCCTCTGGGGACTGTAAAAATTTCAGTAGAGCGCACTAACATTTTTCATCGAAATCTTACGAGTAACTAGTTGGACTTACTTTGAAAAAACCTCCAGTAGTGAATCGAGTATTTACAAATGTTGGTCAATATTCTTTCAAAATTACCACAAAAGTAGAGTATCGATAAGGGCGGTTTTTGGGCCCACTCTAGCTGACCTTTCTCAAATAAGGGGCTTGGAGGACAGGACGCTTGAGTGTAGTTTTTTTTAAAAAATTGAGATATTAATGATTTCAAATTAACCTAGTTTTATGGCATATTCTGTGAGAAATTCGCTCCCAAATTCCAATGTTTCAGCATCAAAAAGTCAGTTTGAAGTTTCTTTCCGCCGTAAAGATACCCTTAGTTTCGAAACTTCAAACATGTATTTCTTGGAAGTAACAAAAACTGCACTTATACGCCGTTTCTTCCAAGTCCCTCAATTATACGATCTTTTACGATTTTATAAGTCTATATTATGAATTTTCATACATGTAAAATAAATGTACTATCTTTTAGGTATTATGCGTTGTTTGCAGCGCTTTTGGTGCTCACTTTGAATTCGATTCAGAAACGCTCTCTAACATCCTGGTGCGTCGCAGACCACCGCCCCCCTGTGTGAGTACATCAATATTTCCGTCTCTTCTTACCTTTTCATTTTTCAAAAATGTTTTAATCCTCAATTTCTTTAAAGAGAGACCAAGATAACATACCTATGCTAATATCAGGTCATAAATGGCACCGTTCGTCAATTTCATTTCGGTACAATCTAAGTAGAATACGGTCGATTTCAATTTCCTTGTAGGGCGTGATAATGGGTTAGTTGCGGTACGGTTACAGAATCGTATTTTAATGCTTGATTCTTGTAGATTAAAGACAAATAATAAGATATGTCCAAATCTCCCTTAAAGATTGTGCGAGGACCGGGTGCTGAGGCGATTAGGTGTCGCAGAGCGCCAGAGAGCGCTTTCAAAGTGTATGTCAGGTGTATTTTCAAAGTGTAATGTCTGTATGAGTACAAAAAATATCAAGTCTAAAATTTCGAGGAAGAATTTGATATAATTTACCGATCAAGGATACAGCAAGGAAGGAAATCAAGTGAAAAGTTCATTATTGGTTAAAGCAGCTTTAGGATGAATAAAAGCGACGATGTATTTATTTCCGGAATATCATTGAAATCTAAGGGAGAAAGGGACGAGGAGGAAGAAGTGAGCTATCTTTTAGTTTAAGTATGTGATTCGAGTGTTCATACGTACTAGTTACCTATTATTTAAGAGAGAAAGATGATGGAAAAAAAGAAAAAAAAAAACCGTATAGAATATATTCAATCACATAACTCGATTCACGTTGTAGCTCCATGCTCAATCTTTCTTTTTCATTTAATAGCTTAGGCAGCCAATCTGTATTCAATTGTATTTTCTAATTATTCTATATTGTGTTATTAGCAAGGATGCGTCTGCTATAGCCATGCCAACGGCCAGTGTCCGAATTGCAATCCTGGATGTTGTCCTGGTTGCTAACAACACGATAAGTCAAAAACCTGATTTTTCAATTTCATAACTCCGATGTTTCGGTAAATATATACGGTACTTCACACATCATGTTATTTTGTATTTTTCTTGATCACACTCTCTAGAATGATAGATGCAAATCTCCTAGGAAAATAGCTGGAAGTTCCGGGAATTTTGAAGATCCGAGTAATGCTCCGAGAAATTGCAAAAGTTCCGAAATCCGGTGTCAATTCCGGGAAATGGCAGCACTGATACCATTCCTTCGCTGTACTGTCGTGCTAAGGAAAAACGCCGTATGAATATTCAGGCGTTGCCAAATTTCCTCTAGCAAATCGCTAATTTCTCAGATAATTTTGTTTGTCATTTGATCTAAAATTACTGAAAATTTCGAGGAAAAATATTCACAATTTTTTTCCAATATAAACATATTATCGTAGGAAATTTGGCAACTCTCGAATGTTCATACGGCGTTCTTCCTTAGCACAGCAGCGTAGTAGGTGATTGCAGGATGTATCGAAAGCATTGCAATTTTCCGTGATTTTCCGCGATGAAATGGGATTATTTTATTCTGCCCATGTTTTGAGAATTTACCGGGGCACAGGTACGTGGCGAACGGAGAACAAGCGCCCTCCTGGTTACGCAGGGGTTAATGCCTTGGGGTGCGCGCGTAATTCGATAAATTGCCTCGCTAACATTAGCCTTCACTTTTCGTTCTAATTTTTAATCCGCACAAATGGGAACGTTGCCACTCGCGCTGAATTATCACCTTTTCGACGTCGACTCATTTTTGAAATTAGTCTTTCCCTGCCAAATCCGGCGGAATCCTGTCGGAAGATGGTGTTGAGAGGAGAAGAAGGAGGGCTGTAATTGAATTTCAGGCACCGTTGCCGATTTTACGATATTCTATTTTTGCCTACGTTCGGAGCGGAATGATAATAATAATTTGATGAGTATGTTGCTTTACAAATAAAAGAAAACAATACACAACAGGGGAAAAGCTCTGATATATACGTAAAGAAGGGGTCTCGACTAACCACTGGAACCTTAGCTACCACAAATAATCGGGAATCGCAGATAATCAAAACTAAACTATCTGGCCAGGAAAATTGATCAGGAAGACTGTATTTTATTATCACTTGTCAAATAACAGGTAGACATGCACCGAAAAAAAGTGATGCTGATTTACCATTATGGATGTAAAAGCGTGTGCTAGAAATCACAATACGCTGTATTAACTGTAATTGCTGTTAGTTTTACATCCTGACATTCCTAAAAGTAATTGTTGTAGCGGTTAATTCAGCGTTCACTGGTCCAGACTCTTAATAATATGGACAAGAAAAAATACTCTTGATTCAATCCAATTGTTTCTTGAATCGAAAAGCTTAGCCTTTTGATTTAGGCGGATATCCTTTTGATTGAAGCAAGAAGTCCGATTGAATCAAGAGGATTTTTTTCTTGTCAATATTTTTAAGGGTCTGGACTCTAGATACAAGCGACTTTTTTTCCAGTGTTTTGTGAGTTATCGTACATTTTTTTACATCCAGGGGCTTGTAATTACCAGTTCAGAATGAATATTTTTTGCTCAAAATCGAGCGCAAAAAGCCCTCGCTATTAACCGAGTGCTTGAAATTAGATGGAGCACGGACAAAATGCTGCGCTGACATGAAATAACTCCAACTTAACTTGATCGTCTGTGGAGAACGCGATTTAAGTGGCGAAAAAATTAAACTGAACTATTGGCGCCACTGTGTGTGGAGGTGCTTTACAAACATTTTGGCACTAGGAACTCCCATAAAAGAGAGAATGATTTGGAATTACGACGCTTTGAACTTTGCGATTCAAAAAGTTTCCAGAAAAAGCTATATTTACTTTATTCATCTACTATGTTTCAGGTTAAAAATGTATTTGTTTGATTACTGAGCGACTTAAGACCGTCTTACGTCCTAAGCATGTACGGTTTAGTGCCTCACCAACGATGCAGAGGTGCAAAGTTGCATGTTATTTTTATCATTTTATTTAATGGAATTTTGTGATGTTGTATTCCCTGGAAAACCAACATGGAGAGAGTACGAACATGTCAAAATATGTAGGTCTGAGGGCCCAAAAAAGGCAGTGCCTTCTAATAAGACAAATATTAGAAATATGTCGCATCAATCTTCAGATTTCAATATCAAAGGAAATGACCAAGAATGTTCATGAAAGAGCGTTCTTCTGCAAAAATAAGTAAAAGTATGGTGAAACTGAGTCAAATATATTTTTTACAAACAAAGGGTCGCAACTATTGTAATGATAATTTATTTGGGATAATTTAAGTTCATAGGCTGGCTGTTCTTCTGGGCCCTAAAAGCTCCATGACCGAACGTCCAAAATTAGCCGGCTAGGTTGGCCTAGCTGTCATCGCGTCTGAATCTAGGTCGATGGGTCCAAGGCTCGAATCCCGATCGTGGCGTTGAAATTTCACGGAACTGACGAGTGGATCCGCAGGAACAGATTCTACTCGGCCTTAATACCTGAAAATTTGAAAGGCCGAGAGTATGGATGTGCCAAAGTCCCTTGATGTCTATGGAAAATACATGTAGTCTGTAGATGGCTGTATATCCTCAGGGAATATAAGTTAATAAACCCGCAGTAAAATGTATACATTTCACCGCGGTAGTTATCGTAACTACCGCATGATAGCTCGCGCATTTTTAACAAGTCGCTAGTCGTGGGATTTGTTTTCATTATATATAATGAAAACAAATCCCTCCAGAATTACCAAAAATTCCGCTCTCTTCCCAAATTGGTACTATAACATTCCTCGTTATGTGTAAAGACTTTTTAAATGTTCTCGTTCTGTATGCACTGAAAAAATAGGATAGTCGTCACAACCAGCAGCTGGTCATAAATGCGCGAGCTACCGTGCGGTAGTTACGATAACTACCGGGTTAGTTGTGTCCTTTACCGCGGCAGTTATCGTAACTACCGCATGATAGCTCGCGCAATTTTAACAAGTCGCTAGTCGTGGCCCATCCTATTTTTTCCGTGCGGAGAGGTTAAATCATTGCTTCACAGAAAAGAATAGTCAATGCTGATCACAGAATCTCTGTTGACACACCTCCTGCACTTTCTTTATTATACTTACAGAACTTTTCTGTTGTGAGAACAGAACTTCGCTCGTGAACAGACCGCGGTCTCAGTCGCGTAAAAACGGAAACTTCTGTCTGTAGCTGTAAAAAAGAAAGTGCCGGAGCCTTAAGGTGCCATGCTAAGGAAGAACGCCGTATTAAGATTCGAGAGTCGCCAAATTTCCTTCAGTAAAATTTTTGTTTCTGAAGAAAGTTATGAATATTTTCCTTGAAATTTTCAGGAACTTTCGGTGAAATTGCAAACAGCATTATCTGAAAAGTTGGAAGGAAAATGTCCATAAGTTTACCAGGCAATTCGTGTTTTATCAATCGAAATTCGGCAAGGCCTGAATAGTTATACAGCGTTTTCCCTCAGCACGGCAGTATGAACAGAGCTATTTTGTTCGGCGTTCTGCTCAGCGGCTGGTATTTGCTTTTCAGTAAGAATCTGACAACCTCCTCAGTGCAGAACCGGGCGAGCGATCAGCGGCCAGACCACGAAATCGGTAATGAATTCAAAACAAACGGCGGCGGCGCTTTGCGGATTCTCTCGGTAATTGCATAAGCTCGCAATAGAAACCGCCGATCGCCCCCCCCCCNGGGGGGGGGGGGGGGTTTGGTCACGTGAGCAGCGAGCAGACCTCGAAGGACGAGATAAAGGACACGGCGAGAGTTTCGACATCGGCCACGGGAAAGACCATCATTTCCCGGACGTGGCTCGGATTAGCGAAATTAGCCTAATTTCGCCTCGCAAGATCAAAGAATAATGCTGCGCTCATGTGGAAGCGTAATATTTCCGCACGAGAACAGGAACGGGGGTGGAAAATCTGTTCCCGGAAGGCGACTAGACAGGGATATAAGCGATATTTTTATATTGCTCTATAATATAAAATCAAGAGAGTGTCGCGTAACCGAGGTAAGTGAAACGTAAGTGTGCTCCATCCAACCCTTTTGGCCAGAACCCGCTAGGCTTTCGGCTCCGCCGGAGCAAATTTTTACAACTTCGAAGAAACCTCTAAATATGAAGAAAGTTCGTTGTAAATCATGTCCACCTTCATTTCTGTCCCAAACTTTCCCAAGCTTCTGTGGCTATACTCGAAATTCCTAACCAAAAAAAAGAACATCGCTCGAAGAGCCGATATCTCTCGGGGGATTCATCTGCGCAGCGCAGGTGAGACCCTTTCGGGAGGAGGGGGTAAAAAAGGGGGTTGGGAATTAGGGTGGAGGGAGGGTGTCTTGGGAGACTTCTCGGCGCGGGCGGCGGCGTTTACGACACTTATAACCCTTTTAAAAACACGCATTATCCACCGAATTCATCTGGCACGAGAGGGGGGGAGGGGGAGGAGGCGGGAGCGGAGCCAACGACGAGAAAAAGTGATAAGGCTCGATATCGCGAGGCGCGACGCGATTCCCACGCTCGTTTGTGAGCCGGATGTTGCCAAGTCGAGCGATAAACGACGGGTATTTTAAATGGGTTTAAAGGGGGGAAATTACACCATCTGGCAACGGTGTCGTCCCCGGGGAACCGCTCCCGCTTCCGCCGTCGAGTGCCCCCGTTTTTTTCGGGGGCTCTGCCAGGTTTACCTGTTTGAAAGATACGGGACGGGGGGAGGGGGAGGTGTGCCGAAGGCTCGTTGTCAGTTGAATCCGAGCCTCAATGTTCTGTAGCATTGTTTTAGTAACGTCCTAAACGGATCCCTTAATGGCCGTGCTGACGTAGAACGCCCTAGTATAGTGACAAGTTGTCTGTGATTTTCAAAAATGCCTGACTTTTCAGGGGTTGTAAAAGTACGCAGGGTTCCCGGATTTCTTCATGACATTTCGGAGATTATTTTTCGCGGGTATAATTCCTTATGAAAACGGTTTTCACAAGTAAAAAAAGACCCTAGATCTATAATTTGAGATCCATTATTCTAAGATCTATAATTTGAGGACTTAAAGGCTTAAATTTGTAAATTTTTTCAATACGGTCACGAAAAAACTAGGTTTCCTATGCTTAAAATTTTAGTAGTGCCCAAATATATTTACGGAAAGTTAAAAAAAAGTTGGTTTTTTTGTATTAATGCACCTAGAATTTTCACTGTTGTTAACACAGATGCTTCAGCAAAACTTCTCGAGTTTTCAGATTTGAATGTCTTTGCATTTTCAGGTTCTGGATGACTTTTCTGTCTTTGAACTGGCGGTAATTGACAAAGTTCTTCTAACGTAATACATAGTTTCACGGAAAATATTGAATATTTGAGAAATAAATTGTAATTGTGAGAATATTTTTGATTTACATTCTCTATGAGCTTCATTTTGCAATTAAGAACTTTAATTTCTGGCTCATTCGTGAAACACTAATTTCCATAGGAAAGCTGATGATGTACACGTTGTTCTTAAACTAAGCCAGAAATTGCAGTTCCTGATTGCAAAATGTAGTCCATTTTTTCATCCAAGTATCTCGGAAAACCCGCTCCCGGTCTGTCGGACGCAACGCCAATAATTTCAAGGGGGATGAAAATCTTAGACGATGAGCGGGCAGCCGGTATTGAATTCGCAAGACATTCCGTCGACGATCATCGAATCGCACCAGATTCGTCACTCTCCGGATAAAACCACGTATCTCCACCCGAAATAAACTCTGCAACGCATATAGCTACAAGAACCAAAGGAGCAATCCGGAAGTTGAGTTACGTCTTTAACGCAGCGAAGCGACGAATTCGAGCGAGCAGAATCCCCGATCCGAGGGGCTTATGCAAAAACGGGTGGGATCCCTTGTCTTCGTCCGGCTTATTGAATTTCGCAGGCTCCTCATTTAGGTGTGATTGCCTCCGACGCGGGGGAAAAATACCCGGACGGTTACCGCCCGTAAATATTCAATGGGTCGGCCAGAAAACCAACGAAAAAATGAGCGAGGAGGATCAACGTATAACTCGATTCCGTCCGCTTTGAAGTCGCTCGCTCGTAAATTGGTATGCAGCAGCGGAATGCCTCCCGAACGAGGCAAATCTTCGGCTCATATTTTTCTCTCCCAAGTGGGCGAGAGCTCCAACAGGCGGAGCCAATGTCTTTTATCTGCATACACAAAGATCCACCGCCCGGCGCGGCGCTGCGGGGGAAATAAAATAAATTAGCGGGAAATCGAGCGGGGGCCGGCTGGTCGTCGTAATTTTCGCCTGGCTGTTGCCCGACAGAAGGCCCCGTCAAAGGGATTCGGTCCCGCGACTGGTTGTCATAAAAACGATCCTCTCCCATAATCATCGGACGATCCTTTGAGCCACGGCTCCGAAACTTGCCTTTTTACCGTCCCAGGAAAATGCTGCCGCGGTAAGGAAAAACGCCGTATGAACATTCGAGAGTTGCTGAATTTCCCCTGGTGAAATGTGTCTTTTCGAGGAAATTATACATATTTTTCCTTGAAATGTTCAGATATTTTAGGTTCAATTACGAACAAAATTGTCTGAAAAATTGGAAGGAACATATTTAAAACTTTCCCATTAAATTTGTATTTTATCAAAGGAAGCTTGGCAACGCCTGGAGGTTCATACGACGTTCTTCTTCAGTACGGTATAATAGAAGAACTTTCCGCGGAACACAAAGCCCGGCTCGGAATTGAAGGTTTTTTCGGTTCCGAGAAAAATTCATACGTAATATCCCGCTGTTCGTCTGATTTTCAACGCGTATGATATCGCGTTCGCTCAAAGCTCGACTTTCAAAACGTCATACTTGATATTCCAATGAGCTTTCTTCTACCGAGAACTCGGTGTTTTCTACGGCTCATGTGGGCAATAAAATTCGCTTTTTGTTGGGGCAGCGATGAGAGGAGGAACCGAAGGGTGGGAAGGTAGTCGACGTTACAAAGGTCTGACTTTTTAACGATGCGCTTCTTTTGAGCTTCGGAGACATTTCGGATTGCAGTGAAGAGGTGCATTAGCTTTGGGGATCCCATTCAGGCGCGAGTGAAAGGACCTGGTACCCTCTAATTTGCTCCGCGAAGAAAAGGGATGTTTTCCTCTTCTACGATGGGACTCATGGCATGGCTTTGATTTTGTTTCTTGTAGCATCGAAACAATTCTTAAAGTGACTTAATTACCATTTACTTGGGAGGTGGAATATGAAGCAATAATACCGAAAAAAATTGAATTATTCCAATTTTTAAAAATGGACCTTGCTCAGCGATGCATCCCGCCTAAAAATGTTTAACCGCATGCCATTTTGCAGACATTTTTCAATAAATTATTCGAGTTTTCGAAATATGCCGATGCCGTTTTTGTTCGATGATACCCTCCTCTAAAACCTCTAAACCTCTATGACCTTTCTCTAAAAAACTAAAATATACTAAATGAACAAATAAGTAATACTGTTAAAAAATTGATATTGCAGACCAGACTCTCGTACTATGTTGCGGCGAGAGTAAGATCTTGATTAGACTCACATTTACAATCAGTGATATCCGAGCGAATGGATGCGTCAACCTGTTGAATCGTGATGATTTGGGACTGACGAGCGATTAACGATTGCCTCGGTTCAGGAT